ATGTACAAATTCCACTAACAGTAAAAGAGCACAGTTCATTTTGTTTCAGTCCTTGGAAGCAAGTGCTTATTTCCTCTGTAATCAATAGTAGCCATGTATATCCAAAGACAGAATTTTGTCTCTGAGTGTTTGTTCTTTGAATATTATTGATCTGTTTAGCTTTCATGGTACGTAAATTTCACTCCAGTGTGATACTGAAGGGTAAAAGCTATACTGAGGTTGATCTTATTAAATTATTTGCTGTACTGGCATTTTTCTTTGTCTTAGTTGCAAGCAAGACAGAGCAAGTTTATGCTTCATCAGGCTACATATCTTGCATCTTGAGTTGGTGATATACCCCTCCAGTTTTCTGGAAATTTTCTGGAAGTACTTGGCTGTGCAGTAGTATTTAATTGATGAGACTAATATGCTAAATTTTCAATAAGGAGTAAAAAAAGAATCTCAGCAATGTTAAGAAGATATCAAAGTTAATTTGCCTGAAGTAATTTGAAATGTTTAGGCAATATAGCACAGTGGGTAAAAAATGGCAGTGTTTTGTAGTAGAAAATAGGGTTGTTTGCAGCAGGTTCACACATCCTTTATGATATTACGTGTTGCATCTCTGAGAGAGCCTGTAACATTGGTATTTGATGCCCTTGGAGTTCCCATAAGCAGTTTACCTCTCCCAGCTGTGCCTTTAAGATGCTAAGCAGGTGGCCTTGAACTGGCTTGTACCTGCTGCGAAACGTGAAGCAGAGCAGAGCACGCTGAGCAAATGGCCTCTTGCTTTAAGAGCTCTTCCTTGGATACAAAGGGCAATGTCACATCAGCTTTTAAAGTGCACTGCATTAAGTCAAGGATTGATTAGCCTCCTTCCACTGCGGGCAAGACAAAAAAGAACAGTAAATCCATTTTTTCTCACAATTCAGACTGAGAGTCTGCCTTCCTTTCCCTGGTGTCTGTTCAGTAAGGAAATATGACTCTCTAGTTAAGAAATCTTTGAACAAAGTCTACACTGCCTTTCATAATTTATACATGTTCCCTTAGTAAATTCCCTTGATCTCTCTATACCTCAGTTTCCCATTTGTAAAATGTGAATAGCACAGCTGAGTCATCTCACAGAGATCTTGGAGGTTCAATCCATTATTGTTTCTGAGGTGTTCAAAGATATTTTGATGAAAATTTTCCAAACAAATGTAGAGAAAAGACTGAATACATAGAAGACGCAATTTATTTTTAGAAGGAGAATTAGGGCGTTCTTTAGTTCTACATCAGTTGTAAGTGCAATCCAAAAGAGGAGGTAATGACAGAAGTTTTTCAGTTTATGATATTTATCTTGGCACAAAGAGCCCTTTCAGAAAGATCAGTAGTATTTCACATGATCAAAATCAATGTAAATGATACATAATTATCAATTAGTGTGTCCTGCTCTGTATTTCAGTTAATAATCAGTGACTTCCATTGCCTTTAGCAAAGTACAAGAACCTTGGGATGAGATGTCTAGTAGAATGCAATGTTTCCTTCTAAATCGGTTATGAACTTTGTTTGAGTTTACATTTCTCTTCATTTGTGGCCTGATCCAATATGTTCCATTCAATTAGAGTCCTGCAATTCACTTCAGCGGTACAGGAATTGAGTCTAGAGCACTATAAGCATAATTCCCACGTCAAAAGAGGCAACGACATAGCAACCAACTCCTGTACTGTAGGGAAGTCGCACTGGAATCAAGTACCCAAAACAGAGGTGCATCATACTGGTGTGATGAGCCCACAGTGATTCAGAGGCAGGAATACCAATCCGTACTCAGTATCATTCCTCAGAGGACTTGCTTAAGAGGTCTTCCACTAGCCGTGCTCGGTTTGTGCCGTGCATATACTTCCCAACTAAACAACTCGAAGTTTGGAAACAGTAGTTTTCTGAAACAGCAGTTCTGAAACAAACAGACAAAATATGCAGCTGGTAGTCTCTAGAATGATTGGTAAATAATTGCAAATAATATGGAATTATGTCAGGATGGTTGAAAATAGCATCTGAGTTTAAATGGGATATTTTGCAGTTAATCCACACACAATTCCCTTATGCTTAGTATCAGTCATTTCCATTTTAATAAACTGCAGTGCAATAGCATGTATGTAACAGTCAAACGAACTGATTGTGATATAACTAATTTGCTACACAAATAGTCTTTGTAATAGTTATTCATCTCTGAAACATATCTTTAAAGCCTGGGAACTGAACAAGCTTTTTTTTTTGTTAGCTATTCATATATATTTATGTATATCTAGTCAAATTTGTTCATTTTTAGAGGCAAATTTCCTTCTTGCAGTTCTTGTTCATAAGGATTAGAAATATTCTTTAAAATGACCTCATTAGAATCCTTCAAGCAGTTTAACTGTATGTTGAACAGTGGCTAGCAAACTGCTGTAGAAAAAAACATTACTCTCAGTTTTTGTACCCACACAAGGGAAAATTAGAGTTGAACAAAAGATCGAAGTGATTACCTGAATATTTAAAATGTTCATCTTTTATGAAGATTGTTAGATTACCCTTTTTTTTTAGTAACTAATATGTAACAAAAATTACATGGATACTTGGATACTGAGAGTGATGTTATTACTACCTCAAGGTTAAACAGGAAAAAGGATTCTGTAATGAACAGGATTCTATTCCAGTTTGTTAAATGACATTATGTCTTTAGTGTCATGTAGGTGGTTCTGCTTAATAAATCATCATTATGACTTTATTGACAAAATGCTATGACAGTACAAACATCAGACCAAAACAATAGCAGTTTCTTTTTGTTTGCTGCCTTAAGATATCCTTCTCAGCTTTCCTTAGCAATTGCTGGGAAAATGAGCAAGAAATCAAACATGATTCCACAATATTGTTGTTGGTCACAGGTCTCTGAGGAAAGTACCTTGGAGGTAGTCCTTCCTACAATGTCTCTCTATACTTTTTCTGTAAAAGAACAACTGTCTGCAATTAAATTACATGCTAGATACAGTGTCACCAGGTCAGTGGCTGATTTCATCACACACCAAACACATTTGCATTCCACATAATAGTCTTTTTAAAAATCTCTCATTTTTCTTGGTTACACAAACAGCAGCTGGACAGAAGATTTTTTAATTTTTCCTCAGTACCATTCCTTACTGGAAATCTTCTTAAAAGTGTTCTTGTAACTGTAATTTGTACAACTGAGATGGAACAACTCTTCATACAGTTTTCATTGTAGTTGCAGTTACGATGTCTATTACTGCAAACCTGCGGAAAGCACGTGTGTGCTAGAGCATTGCCGCTAAGGAGACATTAAAAAAACCCTCACTGTAATCAATACTGTAAAAAAGATGCTCTTACTACAACTGCAACAGATAAAAGCAGCTAAAGTGCCCTGTACACACAGATTACAGTTTACTAATTTTACAGAAATGTTATCAAGTTTTTTCACTGATTCATGATGCAGTAATAGAGAATAATTTGCCATTTTCACTAATGGGAACTGCATATGTCCTTGTTATGAAACTCAGTAAATTAATAGAATCTTATAAAAATATGCTGCACTACAAGGAACGTTTCATAAAAGCAGCAGCACAAAAAAAAAATAGGTTTACTATACTGGAGATTCTGTTTATCTAGAATCAATTATGAGAAAGGTCTTGTATTTCTATCTTCATCCCTGCTGAGCACATTTGCACAGCATACAATTGGCAGGTTTAGTTCAAGGCTGACTCAGCGTCACAACAATTTTGCAAAGCAAGAGCAGACTCTTTTAGAAAGATTTGTATTGTGCAGCTACTGCATCTGCCTTCCAGAAATTCCAAAATGGATATGCCTGTATAGGAAAACATGGTACTAGCTTTCCTTCCAGGAAGAAAGACACAGATCTCCAAACTGCATACATGTATCCTGTGTTGTCTCACATTTGCATTAACTTGTGCAAGTTTTTCAGAAATTAAGAAAGCAATCCATGGGCCCTAATCTAAATGTAGAATGCCTACAGTGTGATGTTCCTGTGCTTTCTAACCAAAATCCATAGTTACTGTGGATAAACTCATCTAGCATCATCCAGTTAAAATTACCATGGACCGAATCATATGGGCACCTTTTTTCTCTGTTCTTTGGTTTACATAAACTGACGAGGTGATATGTGTGGATACAAAATTACTTTGTAGGCCATGTGAAGTATTTTCTGATGTTCTCATAGGTTAATATTTGGAATTGAGGATGCATTTTTCACTTATACGTAGCTACAAGTAATAGCCTAGGTGACTCTCTTGAAATATTCTTTCCAAGGTATAATAGCCTGGAGAAAAAAATGTAATTATTCATTAATGACTTTTGCGCTCATTTCTAATGTGTTATAATTTAGATCTTAACTTAAAAGAGAAAATAGAAATGAGTAGTATTGTATAAGTTGTACCCTTCTGGACAAGCTTGCCCATCGTTGGTAGCAGCTCATTTCCAAAACTGAAATAAGCATTTGCTTGGTTTGTGATACTACAGCAAACATTCTTAAGTGGCATCGCACAATCTAATAACTCATCCATGCAACCCTGGAATGAAAAAAAGCTATTTGTTTCAGAAATTCCACTCGGTTGGGATGCAACATAAGACGGACTTTCTGAAATAATGACTAAAGCAGTAGATGTGCAGTGAATTCGATACCAATAATTGTTCTCAGTCAAAGACCGGCGTCACTTGTAAGAACTACCTTTTATTGAGCAAATGTTTGATTATCTAGATGTCTGCAATCATAGATTGTGGAAAAACTCCTACCAGAATAAAAAAATAAGATTTCTCAGGTCTGTAGAAAGTATGAATCATGACAGGATGCATACATCTTTCTCTCTGTGGTTCTGCTTAAGGCTAATAACTGATGATATTATGCTAGGGAGAATCCGTAGTACTCTTAAAGCACTTAATTGTGCTTTAAAATCGAGTACTCTATTATCACGTCACAAGTGCATTCTTTACTCTTAGAATGCTATTAAATGTTTTTATTTCAACTCATTCTATTACAGAACATGAAAAACAGCGGTTATGCAAAAGCACAGATTATATGAATTTACACTTCAAAGTGAAATGGTTTTATAACGAATATGTGCGGGAACTCTCTGCTTTCAAGGATGCGGTGCCTGAATACTCTCTGTAAGTAGCGTATAGAGAAGGCTCCCATGAGTTGGGGCTCGGTGCAAGGTTTATTTTGGTCAAATATTTATGCTCAAGTTTGTGCAAGATCTCAAGGTGTGTAGCACTGACAACTCTTTGCTTTTCACAATTCCTCCTTTTTAATTCTTCATTCTGCCAAATGAAACAGTCCAGACATTAAAAGTGCTATTAGCTATTTCACAGGACTCTTTATCCAACAGTTGTAACTGCAGCTTTCCATAGGTGACGAAATATTTTGATCAGAAATGCCTGAGTAGAGTATGAAATATGCGAACAGCAGCAGTATTAGTTACAGGCCCCTGCATTTGTTTCATACTCAAACTTGGATAAAGATACAGTGCTAATGGGATTTCCTAATGAAATTATTCTTACTGCATTGTGTTAATATCCAGCTGCTGTTTATATTTCTTCCTGTTTATATTTCTTCCTGCAATTGATACATCTAGTCCTGTCCTTCTATATGAGCTATCCTTAACCTCATTCTTTAATCTTCTGCAAGTATTCTGATTTGCCAAGATGGTTTGGGGCCTGTTATTGCTTTAATTTTTTTTAAATAAAGAAAAATAAAACATCGCTGATGTTTTATTAAAGCAAAATTTTCTCTAAGTTATTTCACATACAAAAAAAATATTAATAAAGAACAAATATTGACAAAAGGAACATTCTAAAATTTAAAAAATGTGCAGACCATGATCAACCGCAAAACATGGACACGTTTCTCTGATGGCTACTGCTGATTTTACATCACTGGGGTAGACCAGTTAGAGTATTGTGAAAGTGAAGCCTGAAAGACCTTTTAGTAGACACAGTGTCTCTGGTGACAAATTTTCCTAGGATGATAAGACTTTTCAGCAACTAGAACAGAAGTAAAGACACAAGATGCCAAACTGCTGGGTGGTATGGCATCTGTCCTCTCCAGGTCTTTATGAAATGTACTTAATTTGCTTTGCAAAGTTGTTTTTAATTTTCAGGTGGTTTGAACCATTTGTCATCCAGTGGCTGGATGAAAATGAGGATGTCTCAATGGAATTTCTTCATGGAGCACTAGAAAGAGACAAGAAAGATGGGGTGAGTGTTTACGTTTTAAATAAAAGAATAAAGAAAGTATTAAGACAGTTACTATTGCAAAACCAGAAGTGCAATTGGTCCCACAGTATCCTTGTTTAGACCTCATAAGATATGCAGCCAGTAAGGGTTCTTGGAAGATAACCTTAGGGACAAATCCCTGCTTTAATTCCATCTGCCTAAATTCCCCATAGACTTCAGTCTAAGGTTTCACTAAACTCTGATGTGATACTGAGGTCAGGAAAGAGAATTTTGTTTTTATTTTCAAGAGGTTTGAAAGTAACGGAAATGTGAAAAGCCACATTTCTCAGTATTAGCAGTGAGACTTTTTTTAAAATTTATTTTTATTTATTAATTTTTATGACTCTAGGAAGAATTTCAAGTGTAACAAAATCAGTTAAAACGGTTTTGATCTCTGAACAAATATTAACTCATTTGAATGTTTCTGTCTAGTTTCAGCAAACGTCAGATCATGCCCTCTTCTCTTGTTCTGTGGTTGATGTCTTCACACAGCTCAATCAAAGCTTTGAGATTATTAGGAAACTGGAGTGTCCTAATCCGGAAGCACTATCTCATTTAATGAGAAGATTTGCAAAGGTAAATTAGAATCAGTGCATCTCATCTAAGCTTCAGAGAGAGTGACTTTGTGTTGCCATGTGCTTAAAAGCTGAGTTGTTTAGAATCAATCTCTTCTATCTCTGACTGAGGCCCTTAGAAAGATATGCTGTCTGTGGCTTAAGACTGTTCTTCATCTAGTTTGTCAAAATCATTTATCGGCTTGAGAAGTTTTGTCCTCTCTGAGATTTCATATTTATATATGTTATACAATCAGTTCTTATTCTTACTAAGCACTGATACAATTCTGTTGATGGAGCAATTCAGTGAAACACCGTTACCTAATCAGTCCGTGCAAGGAAAGGAAAAACACAAGGTATGGCATCAAGGATTGTCGGTTAAGCCCCGAGGTGGTAGTTCTTATTCATCTGCCGTTTGATAAACTCAGCTGTGTTAGGCCAGCTTTCTATTTGGATTGTAACATTTCCTCGCAAGCTTTAGATTTCCATTATAGTCCTGACGGATTTAAAAAAATTTGCATTTACATTCATTCCTGTTCTTCCATTGCAACAGTTTTCCATTTGCAAACAAAGTTCCTATTTACGTGATTATTGTAAGCTAAGCTCACATTGCCAAGCTTTGAACAGGGCTCCCTTCATCTTGTTTCTCCATTGTATTTTTAATCTATGCATTGTCACCCTAGAGGATTTTTGGAGCTTGCTACTATTCCATTAAGTATGTAGGACACTGCAAGGAGTAGTGCTCTCAATGCTTCTCAAAACCAGTATGTCTAAAATTAAAGTATCTCTGCTATTGAAGATTGCATTCCATTAAGAACAACCCACCATCTGTTGTGCCGGAATTTGAAAATATGCTCACAGGATTGTTTCTTACATCTAAAAAAATACTATATACTAAAGCACCTGTAAAATCGATATAAACCTCCTTTTTGTGTTTATTATTATTAATTTTTACAGTATTAAATTTACTATTTAAAAGATTCTTCTCCTCTCCTAGACTATCAACAAAGTGTTGCTTCAGTATGCTGTAATTATTTCCAACTACTTCAGCTCATATTGTGATAAAGAAAATGTGGTGAGTAAAAAGTTGTGGTTTGTTTCTGCCTCAGAAATTATCTTTAAAGACCTTACTGTACTTTTTGAAAATGTAATCACTTTTGTGTATAAGAGTATGAACAGAGGAAGGGATTTTTGTTTTGCTTTATTTTTTAATAAGGTCAGCATGTTTTCATAGCTGCTTACATTGCTGTGTAAAAGCTGCAACAGGTGGAATTAGTTAAGAATTCTAGTTATTTCCATATTAAAGTAGAAAAAAATTTACAAGATGGCCAGAAACACTCCCTGGATAACAGCCTTATAAAATGATGAATATGATCAATGGATGAATATGATGGAGTTAACCTCATTATGATATAAAGTATTATATCAAATGCCTTTAGGGGACATAACCTATTTTTAACAGAAGTTACTTTTTTGAAATACATACTTTTAGCTTAATAAAAGACCATTTGATCTGGTGATTTCAATTATATTAAAAGTCCAACTCCTGCATTCAAGTGATAGAAGAGATTAAAACAAATACTTTTTATGATTTAAGTTAGATATTGGCATTCTTTTTCAAGTCAATACTTTTTCTATTTTTATTCAACACTACAAAATGTGCATAAAAGCTGTTCAAATAAAAGCACACCAAAGGTGCTTTTCATAGAGACATGTATCTAATGTAAAAACATCCTCTTATCTTCCACCTCCTGTCAGAGTTTACAAACAAACCTCATTTATGCATTGTACTTGCCACTCACTTTTATGTGTTGTTGCATCTGGCTGGCTGATTCCTGTAAATTGCTGCAAAGAGTATTCTGAAGGACAAGATGATAATGAAAAAAATAAGATGAGAATGTTTTTAAGCTCTGGTCCTGCTATTTACTGGCAGCAACAGAATTTTTTCCATGGAGCCAAGGTAGGCTTAGGCTCTGAAAGAGCAACCTTTGCTAGCCTCCAAGGAAACTTTGCAAACTGCCTCAATATGAAGTATTTAGCTCACAGCTGCAGTATATTGCCACAGGCACTTGCACTGGTTTTGAACAAAAGAACCAAGATGTTACATTCAGCTACTCGTTCCCCCATCACAAATCATAATCATTTATTTGTGATATTGCAGATAATTTCCAGAATAATGAATATGTCAGAAGATAGGAGAAGATAGGAGAGGAGGACACAGTCTTAGTGATGAATTAATAGAAGGTAGATAAACAAATTGGACAGGGGTTTTTCAAGAGACAGGAAGAGAGGTGATATTTCAACCATTATACAAAGCCAGCTCTTTTGCAGGTGGCCAAGTAGCACGCTTTGCTGGGAAGCAGTAATTTCAGTATTAAGAAGTTGGATTAAATTTCTTTTTTTTTTTCCTTCAGTTGAGAAGGACTCTGACACCAAATTTCTTTGAGAGTAATGTAGAACTAATTAAAGCTAAACTATATTATTGATCTTTTGAATACCAAAATCTCATCTCACCATGTTTCAGCACTACATTGGAACATGCTATTAACTAGAAAGGTACAAAAGAGTATCAATCACTGTAATCATTCTATCACCTTCTTGTCTCAAAAAAGTATATATGTTTTTTTGAAATGCATTAATTCAGTGTCTAAATTAATCCAGTCCAGTCATGCACTAGAACACACTGACCTTGGCCAACCAAAACTCTTTTAGCAAGTATTGTCTTATTGCTTCCCCTGCATACCAAACTAACGTATAATGTCATCTGAGTACTTGAAATTCTAGTAATAGATTCTTTCTTCCTTAATTTTGTACTAAGCTAATTTTATCCATGTTTTACTTTTTACCTTATATTTATCCAGCAATTGCTGTCTTTTACACTGTGGCTCTGTTCGCCCAAAGAAACGAGCTTAACCAGCAATATTTTTATACTAAAAAAATATGTTTACAAAAATCTATTGCCTAATTCATTCACTAACTTTTCAAGCAATGCAAAATGTACATTTCTGAAATATTGTTATTAACGGAACTGTCTGTTGATTTATTCAAACACTTAAGCATCGGCTGTTAGCTGGGTTACAGTGCTGTCACGGTTTTCTGCAAAGACTGGGTCTAGAAAGCAATCTGGCATTCCCTTTCCCCCACCCCGGTCTATTTTCACTCCCAAAGTACTTCCATCATTGTGTCGACTCTCAAAGGGATGATAACGCACTACTTCCATTAATCCACCAGATGTAGTAAGTATGACTAGCAACTACGTGGGATATAAGGATGTGAAATACTGGGATCTGAAAACTGCCAGCTGGTTGGAAGAATGTATTCAGTTTCCTGTGGGGCAACACTGTCTTAAGGGCGTAGCGGGCAGCCACTGGCTGAGTGGGTTTGCTGACAGGGCAAAGAGGAGTCTGGATTAAGGAAGGGAAGGCAGCAGTGCTCAAGAACCTGAGATCCTCCTCTAAAAAACACAATTGCATGAATATAGGGCTGATGAAGAACTGGTCTTCAGCCTGGAGGCTGTAAATACACATATTCATACATAAAAGGAAAATAACATGCACATTCTCACATTTGGTGCTCTCTTTGTAGCCCTGTATCTTGATGAACAACATTCAACAACTAAGAGTCCAGCTTGAGAAAATGTTTGAGTCCATGGGAGGAAAGGAGGTGAGTCATATTTGTTTCCTGGTTCATTCAAAGTTCCTTAGAGATCATTAGCATCACATTTTCAGCCTAGTCACAGCTTTCATTTCTGCTTGCAAAGAAAATAAAAATGTTTTAAAAAAAAAAAGACTACAAGACCTATTTAATGTCCTGACAATACTAGAAAGACCTAACGCTATTTCACAGAAACATGCTAATGATCTGTAAAGTTCAACCAGCACTGGGTGTTTTGTGTTGTAATCTGTAGTGCCAGCTTTATTTTAATGTTCGTATTGGACTATACTTTGCTTTTTTATGTATTGGTACGTTTTGCCTGTATCTGAAAATTTTGTAGAATACGTGCTTTGTGCTTTGTCTGTAATGTGTCATGTCTTTGTCTAATGCCTTTGACTTGCAATCCACTGAGCAGAAGAAAGAAGGAGAGAGATTCTCTTATGAGGTTTGTGATAGTAAGCATCTTTTATTATTCCTGACCGTATTTTCTAAGAATAAGAACAGTCACGTTTCCTACTAATTTCCATTGATGCATTTGTGTAATTCCCTATGATCTGAAATCAAAAAGAGCTATGCTTGGGCATTCAGTTGACATTCTAAATTGAAAAGTTTTACTAGGCAGATAGTGTAAAGTCTTTCACAATTTCTAAAAAAAAAAAAATAAAAAATCTATAAAACATATTTTATGTGCACTTTTCAGTATCTGAGACCTCCTTGTATTCAAGATTTGGCACCATTTCACCAAGAGCTGCAACTCAACAGTCTCGAACATGCTTAGCTTTATCTTCTTTTATATTTCAGAAGACTTAAGTCCCTGAAGTCCTGTCAGCAGTAAAAGGACATAAACATGTGCTTCAATACTTCACTGATTGTAGCCTTTGACTCTTTTGAAAGCTAATGAAGAAATTAAAATCTTTTCAAGCTATAGAATCCCATCTTCTTGTTAAAAACTGATGTTCAGATCGTGAATATACTATCCTTATTATCAGTAGCTGGCTTTAAAAAAGAAGTTACATCAGCTTTTTCTTGTTGAGACTGTAGTTTGACAGTTTCAAAAAACTTTGATCTAATGTGACCACACTATAGAGAGAATTGGAAAATACATTATTTCATATTTCCACATCCACACTGGGACGCTGTGGAGGTGAGATAGTCCCCTGAGTCATGCAAGGAATAGCACCTTCCAAACAAACCTACAGATTAACTCCATGGTGAAGAGGTTTTGTTGAGCTAGTAACAGCTTCTTGAAGCTGCCATGGCAAAAATACTTCCTGCTTCAGAAAACATGAAATAAACTTCTGCAGCCTTCTCGTCATTGAAAATTTCATTATCAGACTTTAAATATATATATTTGTCATCCAGACATGGCTAGGTTTTTTGTGGTTACTATTAATCCCCTTTCACCATCCAAATATTACAAATAATCTTGTCTTCCATGCTCTTATGTTCTGTGCAAAGTACTTTTGTATTAAGGTCTTGGATCCAATCCTACATGTTGAATGTCATGAATCATAAAAACAGCTAAGTGTCCATAAATCCTGATGAAGACAAGGGCATAGGAAAGCTGAGTAGCACTTTGTCTGTATCTATCAAATTCTTTTCAAATCAGAATGTTTTCTTGAATCTTCAAAATATTCCATTTTCCTGAAGAAACTAGTTTTCCTTTTGCTCCCAATAGCTTATATAATAAAAAATACAGTAAAAAAAAAAAAATTAGGGTTTTTCATAGCTGTTTTCTTTCAAAATCTCCCATTACTTCTCATCCTTTTTGCTTTCCCTTTTGATGTTAATGAGGATGAATTATTAAGGGTGTTACAGTATCAAAGCAACATTTCCTATGAATGGGGTGAAACATGCAACCCTTGAAGAGAATTCAGAGTAATTTTTCTAAAATCCCTTTGTTAGGTACCTTAAATGCATCTCTGATTCATAGTCTAAGAAAAAAAAAGATCTAAATAATAAATTCAGAGTTTTGTTTGTTTCTCATTCGGGGAATTTCTTGAAGAAAAGTGTGTTCATGCTCAATTTTTTGTCACCCATATCAAAGTGCCCCTAGAATGTTGTCCTCAAACTGGAATACTTATTCCCTTAGCTATTCCAAGAGTATAAACACTAATGGCCAATTTGCCTTATTGAACTTGTAAGAAACAAAGCTAGCAATAAAATCTGTAAGCAGTTTCCTTGCAGGGAGAAAATAGTTTAATATTTTGCTTGTGGAGGGCACAAAAAGTCAGATGATTTTCAACAGAATAATGAGACCTATTTCAGTTGAAGCAAAACTAATTCTGAGAAAATTAAACGCTGTTAATCTCCTCCATGTCACATTGTAAGCAGTATGTCTTTCAAACTGTGCAGTCAAAATACCACAGTCAAGCAGCAGTCCCTCTGTTCGGAGTGGGCCTACTGCATATTGGAGCACAGAGAGCTCTGTAAAGAGAGAAAAAAAATGGGCTCTCAGCCTTCCTGCCATTAAAGTAAAATAGTCTGAACAATGTGAGTTTCTTTATTAACTTTCCTCTTCCATTGTAGCCAAGAAGGAAGGGTACTTAAAAAAATTACATAAATGAGATCGATCTGCCATAATAAAGTTAAGAGTAGTAAAGTGAGATCCAATTCACTGTCTCTTTTTTAAAAATCAAGTCCAAAATCACGGGAACAGATCATCATAATGTAGAATTTTAGTTTAGCTCCTGTTTGTTTTGTCCAAAAGGAGTGCGTACATTTGCACTAAATCATTTTTTCATGTCTGACAAATTGGAAGCTGATGAAAGAGAAAGAGAACAAGTTAATGCTTGTGTTGCTTTTCACCAGATGACAGAACATGGCAGAAATGAGCTGCAGCAATTAGCATCAAAGAAAAGGTGGAAAGCAGAAGCAGGTTGTTTATGTACAACAGTATTATATTGATTGTAAGTAAATCATATTTCCACTCCAGTAAGTTCAGTTCCAACTTTCCATGTAATGCTTAGGAATTTCTACAGGAATATATCTGTGGTCCCAAAGACTTTGATGGGATGACACAAGCCCAGACTTAAGCAGAATAGTTCTGAAGTGTCCATCTTTAAATCCATTAAGTCACAGGCTCAAGTGTTTAGAGCAGTGGCAGCCAAACATGTCAAAATGCGATTCACTGTACCAAAATAGTCAAGTAGGGAGGAGGAGGAAGGATGATGTCTATCAGAGACAACAAGAACCACTAAAGTGACGGATCTGATAAATACCTATATCTTCCCTAGATGTGTATGCAGTATGTAGAACTGTTTTCTGAACAGAAGTAGCTGAGTGGTCCCATTAGGAAACTATAAGGAATTAGACCTGTGAAATTGCAGATAAATGGAATTCCAATTAAAGAAGTTCCCTTTAACTCATGCAGAAGTAATTTGCATCTCTGTAGCTTCCTATAGAAACACCACCAAATTTGCAGTTAACACGATTATGTCTGTAGCAGCACACATTAAATTATAGCACGGAATAACTCAATCTAACGCGTTATGTTGCAAGCAGCCAAATTCATCAGATCTTTAACTCTTTTCCAAGGCTTGTATGTATAAAAATTTCACAGTTTTAGACAGGCAACATTTGGAAACAATGATGCTCAAATATTTCTTATTGTCTCTGCTGTTCAGCAAAAGTTTTTTCTGCTTTTGTTTAGCGCTCAGAAAAAGTCAAAGTTCTAATTATCATTTAATAATCTATAATTAACAGAACTTATGAAGTACGCCAACAAATTTATGAGTACGTTTTGTTGTGGTTAAAAATTAACTATTGTTTAAGATGATGGTAAAATAACAGAAGCTTAAGAAAGCCAAGCAAATTAAGAATTGGTAGAAAAGCATGATTTACACATTAACAGGTTAATAACATTTCCACTACCAAAATAAGCTTGATCTTTAAAAAAAATCCAGATTTTGACACCTAAGCAGTGTACTAATATATTTTAAGACTAGCCCACACATGCTGTGAGTGGAACCCTAGAAAGTTTCTTGGGTCACTAGAAAGCCTTAGATAAATGAATTAATCTCTTCATCAACTGATGTGCCTCACTGGGAAACTGACTTCCTTTACGTAGTGGTTTCGAGAGCTGTGTCACCGTCGCAGGTAGTGAGTGTTGTGGTGTCGACCTGCACAAGTCTTGCAGCTTGTCAGCTTCACTAGCCAAACCACTGCCCAGTGCTATAGTGCATTTCTCACACAATACTTTCCGGAGAATAGGCAAACCTGGTATAACGTGAGTTAGCAGGAGTTGTTCAAACCATTCCTGAAATAATAGATCCTTCTAGAGCACCAAAAAAAATTCCTTTTTGAGCTTGTTTTTGCAAAACGGTGATATTTTCACACAGTGTAGTCATGTTGTGAACTACAGCCTTTTAGAATATTTAAGATGAAGACAGTGACTCTTCCTACCTCCACTGAATTATTCTTTTTTTCCAAATGTTTTTGTTTTTAAGTGAGGCATCATATTAAAATAATCAGTGGATTAATTTAAGCATAAAAGATAAGATACACAGAAGAGAAATCACAATCGTTAGTGTGTGTGATGTGCAGAGGTATGAAAAGCTGACTTACCTTATCTCCACTGCACAAGACCATCCTAAAACCATCTTTACAAGCTCTGAAGTCCCACCAGAATTTCATAGTATAGAACCATCGTAACAGTTCCCATCTTAGCTGTACCGTATCAGAAAAAAAAGAAAAAGCAGGTCATGGCTGTGGTATATTTGGATGATGCCAGTCAAGGACGCTCTGATTTGCCCTGGGAACTCACTAGCACGCAGAAGGCACATGGTAAAATAAACGAAAAGTGCACATTTTAGTCCTAGTGAGACACTCAAATTGCCATATTTTCCAATAGTTAAACAAAAAAAAATAGCATTTTAAAATCTTGCTAACATAGTCACCACATCACCAGGTGACTAGCACCTGGGTGATCAGCCCGCATACCTCTTTATATTCCACTCCTCCCTACGACACTGCATTAATAAGCATGAGCATGTGTATACACAAGGCTGGATGTCCTGCCAGATGCCTCCAGCTGTGCACACACAAACTTGTTCATGCAATTTGTGAGCACAAAGCCCTCTAAAACATCTAGCACTTGCATGCACCTTTCTATAATGTGTTTTATGTCCACAATCTGATATTAATATTTAATCCAATTTTGGCCAAACCAAGTCCAATTCCAGGTGAATTTAGTAGATATATTGTGTTTTCTGGTTATCACAATAACCTCTGATAGAAGTAAACTACATTGGCCTTTGTAGTCTCAGTAACAAGATGATGCTTTAGCTTGTGCATGACCTGGGAAGAAATTTGAGTCTTCTGTCTGTCTGCCTGGTATTTTTGTGCTTTCTCTGATGTGCACCATGTTCAGTGTGAATGCTTGTGTGTTCAGTATTTGTTAAATGTTATTATTCTAGTGGTCTTAAATTTGCATTCCATATGTATCCCACCAAAGGAGGCAGTATAATTCCCTATTGAAATGTATTTCCTGGAGAAATCTTTGCCTTAGTTAGTAAACTCTATCTTTGTTAACTAATATAGACATTTCAGTAAAATTAGCCTTTTTGATCCTTGCTTTTCATATGAAGGAAAATAATCACTTTTAGTGTATGAACAGTCAGAGTGTATCTGCCAGGGCTAAGACATGAACTGGAGAAGCATCAGAACTTCTCTCAAGGCAAAGTAATTAAAAACTAAATCAGTAAGTAGTCACAGTGTTAAAATATGAGCTCTCAGATTCGAAAAGTGCTACACACCACTGAATATCTTCTAAGGGACGTATAGAAATTCCCCTTGTCCGATTTTTGTCAAAAACTGTAACAAAAATCTTTTCTATGCTGTTAAAACATACACAACTTCTAAGGAGAGAAATGATGGTCTAAGATTAGAACACAGTACATCTTTGAGGGTGTTTCAGGTTTTCTTTACTTTGCCTGAGAATTCCTGTATAGTCTCATGTAAGTCGTCCAACGTGCTGTGACAGCTGACCTACTGCACCATAGCACTCTGAAGCAGTAGATGAGGAATAAGCCCTAAACACTACTCACGCAGTTGAAAGACGCGAAAACACAGAGACAGACCTGATTATGTATTCCAAATGCACAATTTCCTTTGAAATTATCCGAAGAGCTATATCTGACCTTATTGCAGAACAGAGTGTGGAATTTGAGGATTATCATTGAAAATCATCCCTAATATTGTGATGTAGATAGCCGACGGACCTGAAACATCAGCTATTAATTCACATTCAGCTGTTGATCCTGATGATCATCAATCATATCTTACAATGGACTGTAACTATTTTTCCTAATGCTGAAAGCTCAAGGAGATAAAAAGTTCTCTTTTTTTAATTTGGAAAAGAATGCATAGCAAACAAACAAACTGCTGATCGATATGAGCAGAGTACCTTTTTGATTAAATATCTATGCACGGATCCCCGTCCCTGTAAATGTAAAACTATGTTTCTCCCCTGCATTCTCTTTTTCCTATGTTTAGCAAACCTGTACCAGAGGTACGGGAGCTGTTCTCGCTGTGCATCAAAATGCGTTGCACTGTGCTTGAATTATGTATGTCTTAATGGCTTTTAGACACAAAAGTACTGAAATTCAATAGATTCCCTTCCCTCATGCTGTATCAGTAGAAGCAGCATGGATAGTCTTAAAGCCACGTCTTTCCAGTGCTGCCTGTTCTACTTTTTACACTGCAATAACAGAATATGGAAACATCTTCCCACGCAAATCACAAAAAAAAAAATACAGGTGATGGTGAAATGTACAAAAAAACCCTAAAAGATTAAAAGATCTGCAGTATTATTAACATAAACACTACATTCTCAAGCGTCCTTCTCTTGGTATGCCTTGTGAATACTGTTTGCCTGATAATGGTAATTCTGTTCTTGTTACTGCCAAAACAATTTTCACCATCCCAAAGAAAGGCGTTGTTTAATGGCTCAGTTTTGATTTCTAACAATATCATTCTTCACTATTACAATCAAATATTTTCCTTTAAATGGTAGTTGGACTTTTAGGCCTGTTAAAGCAGTCCTGGGTTGTAACAGGTGTTTCCACATTTGGTTTTCCATAATGCAGTGTATCATTGCACATGATTCCTAATTCATTAATTGTAATGAAAAACCCAAAAACATAGTGTGTAAGTGAAATATAACATTACTTATCTCTTTGCAGTTGGATCCTGAAGCTAGTGTTGTTCTAAAAGAACTTCAGGTGAAACTTAGCCATGTATTGGATGAACTCAGCGTAACATTTGCTACAAGGTAACAAACCTATTTTACTGCAAACCTTAGAGAGAGATCCATGTTCAAAAATCTGCCATGCTGATTACGTCTGGGTGGTTGTTTGGATGTCGGGAGGTACAGCTTGCCTCTGCCCTCATGAAGGGGGGGTACGTGTGTGCTTAGACTCTGAAACACGCAGCAGTAACCTCACTAAAGAAAACAGTATGGTCTGTGAGCATGAATGTGTTACAGAGATGATGCTAATGACTTCACTTCTGCTTTTTAGAAAACAAAAATTGCTGGTTTGTTCTTGCCTGATGCTGTGTTAAACTTTTCTCTCTGACCATGTTTATGTTGCTTCCTGAGATCGACAGCTTTTTCCAAGTGGCCTGCTTCAACCAGGGATGTCTGCCTATATTTAGCCTGCTTCACGTGGTCACTGTGAATGGCCTTCTTGGGTCATTTGCTTGCCTGTGGCTCTGCAGAAATTGTCTGCTGAGGCCTACTCTCAAAATCTTTCATTAATCAGAGTGCACACTGCAGCCTTGAGTAAGAGTATGGTGCTGTGCCAGCAATGCCTGTGCTGTAAGAGGCTGCAAGTTATTTTTGCTTCAAATTAGACAGGAATCTAAGAAAGAGGGATTAGTGGTATTCATTAAGCAAAGTCTGTAGTTGCTTATTTAATCCGTCAATGAACCGTTTGAGTGGACAGTGTTGGCTTTTTCTGAGTGTGCTTAGTTTCTCACACTGTCTTGGTTTTTGCTCCCAGCTCCTCGTTCGCTGATCACTGACAGTGCGTGAATATTATTTCTTTCCAGGGCTTCTTTCTGAATGAGCCAACTAGGTTTCTGCAAAACAAAACCCAGGAATAGCTCAATTTAGGGTATGCTCCAGAGAGCTAGAACATTCCTCTCGGGTCAGTTTATTGCTGGGGTTTGTGAAGTTAACAATGTTAGATGGACAGCTAATGTCAAGAAAAACCAATGCATTATTTTGGCTTTTATTGGAGGGGCTGATCCCAAAGGATTTACATGAGCAGCTTCAATAGCGGCTTCAAGCTGATTTTATCTAGGGCTTCGAAGTGTGTAGGTAAGTATGCATCAAGTGTACTTGGAAAAGTTTCCAATTTTTCCGGTATTTTCACATGGAGATTTGTGCTCTCTTTTTATGATTAGCCATGTAGCTGTGGAACAGAGATGACTGCCTAATTATAACGTTTCTTTTCTCTCATAGTAAATTCTCTTTCACTTTTCTCAAGTTAATCTTTGACATTTATCTTTTCACATTAATAGGCCTGGTATATTTATGGCCTCTGTTTTGCATTTCTGTTCGTAAACTAATCCTAAACCAGTTCAATTTATCATAAACCAATTCATAAACCAAATTACCGTGTGTGTAGAGCCTTACTCTGCCTCTGAACTGTTGACTCCAATTAACTGTTCTTCTGCATTGTTAACATGTATTGACTGAAGACTGTATCACATCAATGACACTACAAGACTGTCGGACACGTTGCTTAACCAGATCAGTTAGAAGCAGAACAGTTTGCAGAAAAGCTGAACAGACACAACATGAGGAGCAAGAATTTGTTTGCACTCACCTTGGAGTGAAAAAGATTCCTTCCAGGAGGAAGAGTCTAACTACTTCTTAGTGTTGGGGGTTTTTTTGTGAAAGAATATTTTAAACAGTCCAAATGTTTTAGCTCCATATAGCTGCAAAGAAGTAAGCAAAGCTTCTGGTAGCACTGACTCTGTGTGAAACTCGGGGAAAAAAATCAAATTGAGCCAAACAGGGCAAAATCAGTAGAAGTTTTCTATTTTTCTCAAGAATATCAAAGCTTGGTTCATATTAACCCTCAAGAGAAAAATAATTTATAGTCATCTGTTCCTCTTGTCCTTCCACACCAGAACTAAAATCTTAAGAAGTTCTTTCTAGCTGGTAATCAGTCATACCCTAAACTACAGATTCTGATACATCTATTGCTTTCAGAAAATAATTATCTGGCACCCCTGTGAGGGAAAGAAAAGCATAATGACAGAACGAAAACGAGGTGGGGAGGGGGATCAAAACAGCATGTGAATTAGTTATATGAGCTATAATCCTTAGGAAGAGTTATTTCCAGTCTGTAACACCTGCAGTATCTTGCGTTTGTGAACTTTCCATCATTGCAGAAAAGATTTAAATCTTGTTGAAGAACCTGATGCATTTTGCATGCATAAATGTTGGTTTCTATCCCAGAATGCTTTCATTCTCTTTTTTTTTCCCACCCTGTAGTTTCCAATTTATTATTGAAGATTGTGTAAGACAAATGAGCAATGAACTGAATCAAATGAGAGGAAACGGGAATGCAGCAGCCAACAAGAACAGCGCGGCCATTGATGCCGAGATTGTGCTTCGGCCTCTCATGGATTTCCTGGACAAAACGTAAGTGTGGCGATGGGTTTGTGTGGCAGATTAGCAACGGGATGCTGCAGTCAGGCACACCTGGTTTTACCCTGAAGCATCATTAATACCTGGAAATGCTCTAGTATTTTTAATATTTGTAACACTCACGTGTGCCGAATACTGTGCTTATAAAAGCTGCCATATAAAGACAACTTTACTGAACAGAAGAACAAGAGTAAATTCCCTATTCTGAAATTGTCTGGCATTTGTTCTAGGCTGGCACCGAATGTCCCCCTACTTATTAATATGCACTTCTGTGATCCCAAAAACCTGGTCACCATTTCAAGATTTACAGAGCAGCTACATTTTTTTCAGTCGCTAAAAAGCTAGATTTTGAAATAGTCCTGCAAAACTCACTCTGAGCCCTGAAAGTAAGGATATCTTGTCTTCTTATCATCCAGCAGTGTCAGGATCAGCTGTTCTGAAAGGCCATGTGCAGCACAGTCACATCTATAAGCACATCACTGTCCTTGGTCATGTCATTACTGGTACTTCTGAAACACCAGTGGCCTTTCACTGGAAGTGACTGTGAGAACAAGCAGCATGATGCTGATCCTGTGCTTCAGGTCTCCAGTGACACACACGAGTTACATACCCTTCAGTCTGTTGGTTCCTTATGCGTATTTCTTCTAATCAGACGTTTTCACAGGGAAGGTGGAAAAGGTGTGCTGAGGGAGAATCTTGCTTGAGGCGGAGAAGCGGCATAACCAGGAGGAAGTGGCTGGGCAGGACTGGGGTTAAGGCTGGAGCTGTGCTGAGAAGATGAAGAAGGGTCTGAGCCTGGCAGAAAGCAGGTTCAGGGAAGCCTGTGGCTTCCAGAAGCCATTACGTTTGATGCAGAGCCCGTGTCTGCAGGATGCCTGCCATGCCTGTCTTGCAAAGCCCCTGTCTGGAATGTTTATGAGGCAGCAGAATAGGTTCAGTTTTCCCAGCATCCTCTGAGGTCTGTGTCCTTCCAGCTCTGCCTTCTTTCTCATCCCTGGACAAACATTTTCACCCTGACCAACGCCCACAGATTCTTTCCCCATTAAACAGAACATACTCTGGGAGGTGCCAAGGAGCCTTTCCTTGTCTTCTGCGTTGTAAAGTTGTACAAACCGTGTTACTCCACACTTCACTTTATGATTATCTGGTGTTACTGGTGGTGGCCCGCAGGCCCAAACGAAACTTCTTCAGAGTCCTGGATTTCCACAAAGGTTTGTTTTTATGCTTTTGACAAGCTGCTACGCATCTGTGATCAGTAAGACTCTGTTTTGAATTTAGTGACCTAGTGAATTAGTGGAGACAGAGAATAATTCTCTGGGCTTCTGATGCTGGGACTAGTAAGACCCAAGTCAAAGGCTGATTTCAAGAATTGAAACTGCCTTTTCTTTCTCCAGGGCATTACTTCCCATTCTTCTTGTTTTTAAAAATGGAACTGATGGGCTTGCTACCCTAGAAACACAAGTAGAATCACATATCCCAACTGTACATGTGCATAGCCAAAGACTAAAAGTCATTGGCATAAAGGGGAGGGGAGGGAATTGCAGGGGATTTTGAGTTTTCTTTGGGTATTAAATTTTTCTAGGCTTCATTTTTTGAGGGCTTTGGCAATTACATGAATTTCAATGACAGCTGGCAATGGGCAAATGCTTATTTAATGCACTTGATAAGATTTGACTGTTTTTGCAACACTGTCAAGTGCAGTGCCAGGATTCCTAACCTGGAAAAAAAATTTTAGCTGTTTTATCTATATGTCAGCCTTTTATTTTGAGCAATCTACCTAGTCGTATGTGTTAAGTTACAAGAGGTATATGTGTTGCTTTCAAGGAGCATGGTTTTAAATTTTAGTTATCTTTGAGTTAAGATGTTTACTCCTCACACAAGTCTTGAAGGCCAATTACATGTGCTATCCTAAGCTCATCGTTTGAAAACTGGATAAGCTGACTTTTGCCTGTCAGGTTCGATTTCAAATTGTCATTTCTCAAAGCCATCTTCGTAGCATATCTGAGATTTAATTGAATAATGACATAATGGAAACAAAAAACGGGGTTTAAATTGCTGTCTGAATAGAAAATATTCCTTGCCACAGGAATGTTAAATTTAATTTTAGGAGATGCTAAACCCATGCACAGATAATAAAGATGTGAAATTTAAAAAAAACCTCACTGCTAGGGAATATCATCTTTCTTACAAGCATATATTTTAATAGCATTATAAAGATGTAATATTAATAATTATTTCTTAATTATGCTTTTATTTATGTGCTAAGAGTAGCAAGAAATATGAATTGGCATATTTGGCATGATGTTATATGTATAATGACTTTAAAATATTTTTTAACATTAATAGATTAGACATAATTCTGTAAAATTCCCTACATATGCATTTGTGTTGTATTATTTTGAAATATTTTTTCCTGTGCCTGAAAACTGCAGCACTGTCTTCATCCCACTAGTTATTCCTGACAATACATACAAGGTGATTTATGACTATACTGTTAAAGAAAGAAAAAGAATCTATTATAGGTCCTCCAAAAATTTAATTTTACCACCAGTAATAGATAGTATGATTGCATGGATATGCTAGTATATAGAAATAAATACTTCCAAATGGTAGCCCTGAATTTGCAGTAGCTATCAACACCTAGTTCTACATCACAGTAGAAATGTAAAATAAGGGAGAAATTTGGGGTTTTGTTTTTAAGACATAAACAAATTATACACCAAAACTTTAATTTAGGGGCTTGGGAGCGCTAAATTCTAATATCTATCAAACTTTGTAACTCATTATCATTTTGCATTTTTGATAAATATGTATCAGTAATCTTTTAAGCAATAAATGCAATAGTGGAGATTTACATGAATCTGCAAGTCTTTTTTTTTTTTTATCAAAAATATTTACTGATACTGTTGCAAAACAACTAAGCCATTGATACATCCTTATTGATAAAGCAAAGCTTAAACCCTAATGGCCATTAATCTGAGCATATAGCGGTACAGCACGTCTGAAGTCTTAATGCTAGTTTTGAAGACTGGTTTGTGTTTTGTTTTATTCCAGTTTAAGTATCTCTGCGAAAATCTGTGAGAAGACAGTTCTGAAACGAGTTTTAAAAGAACTATGGAAGTTAGTCTTGAACAAAATAGAAAAACAAATTGTGCTTCCACCACTGACGGACCAAACCGTAAGTGTCCCAGCGGCAGCTCACACGCGCAATGAAGGGTTGTACTGATGTGCTGAATCAGGTGTTTGCCAAGGGGGCTGATGCTATCCTGTTCTGCACTGCGACCACCAGGAATAATGTACTGACTGTGTGCAGCGTGCTGCTCTCGTGTTGCAAAGTAGCATAGCTAGGTTGCTCTTCTGTAGCTGGTGAGGAGGACCTTGCTCTTTCATACGCTGCCTGATCCAACTCAGAGGAATTTTTATGACTGCAGCATAAAAGAAGGTCAATCGCTGACTTTGTAGTGTACTTTCATGTAACAGCTTTAAGTTTGATTTGTCTTGACTCCGTCATTCACAGTAACATCAAGAGCGTTCCTTGCCCTTCCCAGTTGCACTAGGAATTCCATGACTCCCATTTTGCAGCTCCCAGAAAGCCAGGAATGCTCCATCCTATTCTGCAGTCCTGCCTGCTGTGCCATTCCTCATCTTGAGGCAGCTCTTAATATCAGGAAGCTTAAGCCAATTTTAGCTCTAATGTTTTGGGGTATTTTAAGAGCAGACTTGATAGGAGGTCCTTTTTGGGCAGGACTACGTTTACAGCCTGACAAAAAGAGGGAAAGAAACTCTAAGTTAATACAGAAAGTGTTGCTGCTACACACCAGACCAGTGTGGGTGATGGCCTGACGCGAATCCTGCATGGTGACAGAGCTGAGAGCACAAGTAAAATCTGATTCTAAGGATGAAGGGAAAAGAGCCTGGCTTGGAGTGCATTTTTTTTAATTGTTCTTTGCTTTTTTGAGGGACTGAGATAACATAAATGTTAATTCTTCTTGTTTTCAATCTTGTCTAAAATAAATTCCCCATCTTTATGACAAGCTAGTCTTGACATTGCCATAGAACTGTGTCTTGCTGAACTGCCAGGTAACTGTACTAGTAATTCTATTTCTTGGAGTAATTGTAATAAAAAACGTGAAGCATGGAATTATAGTAGGATTCTGTTTGTCTAAGACAAACGTAGGTGTTGGCCTTTGGTATCATGCCAGGATTTGGCCATTTTAAAATCTTGGTTTAACTTCATAACACTTTGGTATCTTTTCTTAAAAATAATGGCTTTGGCTTAACAGCACGCTGTTACGCTGTGTGTTACTCAACTGAGGATTTCACTGTAGACAGTTAAGCTTTTGCAGGCTCCTCAGGGCTGCTCACTTCCTGTTATGATTATTTATGTTAGCATAGCACCTGAGAGCTATGATTATGGACACATATCTTACTGACACATTGCATAAGAACAATCCTAGACGTAGCTTAAAAATATTAAATACAAAACGAGAGCAGACAGGAGCACACTAAACCACTACGAACAGAATATGCAATGTTTGTATCAAGTATAGGATACTGGAGGGAATCATGCTGCAGGCATTCAACTACTTGGCCTTATCAACTGAACGAAAATATGTCTCATGTGTAATTGAAATTTTCATTTAGCTTTGCAGAACTGTGACTTTGGCTAATGTCCTAGCAGAAAATAAGATCATGTTGACATAAAAGGCAAATACACTGTAGTGAGTTTGTTTCCTGAATTTTCAATGTGATTACAGGGGCCCCAGATGATATTCAGTGCAGCCAAAGACCTTGGACAACTGTCAAAACTCAAGGTAATGGAGCCAAATGAAGCTGTGAATGGCTTTCTCTTATGAAAAAAATAGATGAAATATTCGTGACTATGAGGCCAAGCCTCAGGCCTCATTTTTGTGCTTATTTACTATAATAAGATTGAATATGGCAGTAACTCTTCATAGGTGAGCAGTGATTTTACAGTCTCATCAAAACCAAATTAAGAATAAAGACTGTATGCTTATATGGTAAAGTGTGATCACTGGATGGGTCAAGAAGATGTCATTCCCATGTTGCACAAGGCCTTATATAGGCCTTATAAGCAAATTTATATAGGCCTTATAAGTATTAAACATCACCAAAAAAAATAATTGTAAGATCTTTGTGTTCCCTTCTGGAACCCATTCTGAAAAACTCAAAAGGTGGGAACATTAGTAATCTTTTTCTGTCTATTATTTATGGCATGTGTTGAAACACAGCACGTCCTTCTACAATAAACTCATCAGCACTGCATTACTAAAGACCATAATAAGATTCATGAAGAGCTTAGACATTTGATACTGATGTCAGTTGTTCGCCAATCAATTTTGCCATCAGATTTCAGATTTGGGCAGAAATGTGGTAATTTGTGCTTCTATGAATAATTGTTCAGTTTGCTAGAGGATGTAAAGTGTTGCCTAAGTAAATCACAAGATGCTTGTTTTAGACAGAGGTTTCACAGGAGTATAGTCACTTTATGACTATTTAACTTATGTTCTAACAGGAAACCCTGGATTTTTTTTGAAAAGGGACATTAACAAACATTAGTTAATCTGTCAGGTTCATTTATAAAATGAATTCTTTCAGTATCATGTAATATAATTATTTAAATCTAAAATTTAACCTTTTTCCCGCCCCCTAGAACAGAGAAATAATACATCATAGGAAAAGAAATAAAGCTACAGCGATGCTCGGTATTAAACATTGGTTCTTCTTCCCTACAATCTGTGTTTTCAAGAAACAACATGATTGCTCGAGGTTATAATTTGTTGTAAAGGAAATCTGAAGTTGAATTAATCTCTGTTAACCATAGGGGCTTGGGGGGCATTTGGCAGAGGTTTTTGTTTATTAGTTTTTCCAAGAATAGACAGGCCACAATACTCTCTCTTTCAAAATCAACCGCAGTGCTAACTTGCTTTGCAGGACCATGTGATTCGAGAGGACGCCCGAAGCCTGACGCTGAGGCAGTGTGCAATAATGGAAGTAGCACTAGCTACTATAAAGGTACAGCTTTACTTGACTTTTCTGTTCTGTGCTGGAATGACCAAGAACATGACTGACATAAACAACAGATTCTAATATAGAATGGTCCCTTAGAATCATAAAGATCCCTTTAATATGTCAAGAACCATTTGATCCTAAGCTCCTTGTATTGACTTGAGAGCAAATGTATAGAAGAAAAGTTAGAAAAATTATTCTACCAGTTGCAGACAGAACATGTTCCATTAAAGGAACTGGTGGCCAAAGCTTATCTGATTCTTGTGTTCCTTTACAGTTTAGAGTTAGCAGCTGGGCTAAATCCTTACTATGCTGCAGCATAACCTCCTCTTCTCCCACAAAGGAGACACCGAGACTGAAAAGTGTGGTTATTCCTAGCCACCCTCTCCTGCAAACATGTGTGGCACATTTTTTATAGCACACCAGAAAACAAGGCTTTTAATACATTACCTTTTAATGCATTGCTGGGCATTATTTTAAATTCAATGTCCAGTTGAATTAATTTATCAATTTTTTACAGTTCGGAATTCACCACCAAATTTACTGTTACTCCTAAATAATCTGATTTTAATTTAAAGATACCATTTAATTATTCTACATGTTGGTCCCTTTTCAGTGAAAACAAAAAATCATATTTATCACACACCTGTTAAACACTTCTGATAAGCTCATTTTTATGCATTATGAACATCTTGTTGATACAGATGTTGGTAATGCATAAAACTACTTTAGAAAAATCTCAGCATTGCAGTAAAATGTTTTACATTAGATCTTTAAAGACACCATATTAGAAACAATCCATCCAACCGTACCTGGTGCTAATCCCATTACTAGAAATACAAATTAATTTATTGGTAATTGATAAAATAACTCTAGGCTTTGACCGCTCTGGAAGGATGAAAGGATCACACCGCAGGCCGGATGAAATATTCTGAAAACTTTGTTTTCACTTCTACTGATTTTATGGTTATTGCATTATGCTCCTAAATGTAAAAGTAAGAGATTAACAAAGTCCTTTCTTTTGTTTGGCTTTTTTTTGGTAAAGAAATGCAGATTTTCATACAGTCTTTACAGATTGGCTTTCTGAAGTCAAAATAAACCATTAAGGAATATTATTTAATGTACTCATCAGTCTTTTTCATATTGGCCTGGATCTTCACTTGAGGTAAATAATGTGAAAGCAATCGATTTATAGAATAACAGCATATTTTCATGTCTGCTGCTGAAGAGATGATGACAGTTATCTCAACTGCTATAATCATAAATCTAGCCACACATGCCAAGTGTTATTTTTAAAACTTTGTGTAGTAATTTTACTTAAAATTGTATGTCTGTAACTGGGGCCACTGTCAGATAATTTGCCTCTCTGAACAACTATATTTCTTTTTCATTTTAGCAATACTTCCATGCTGGAGGAAGTGGGCTGAAAAAGAATTTCCTGGAAAAGAGCCCAGACCTACAGTCCCTGAGATATGCTCTTAGCCTTTACACACAAACTACTGACGCCTTGATAAAGAAGTTTATAGACACTCAGACATCTCAAAGTAAGTGATCTGTAAGAGAGATGTAAATGCATGCATCGAATTCTGGTTTAAATGTTTTAAATGATTGGTTGCCCATCACATTCTCCAAACACTGCGGTATTTTAGAGTTTATTGTCGCAAATTCGCCCATGTGATGTCATCCCATATCAACTGCTGTTGTCAGTCAATGGAGCTTATACGAGGGCAGTGCATTTATCAGCTCGTCACTTCACATAAAGAACAGGTCCCGTAGCTCTACATGAACACTGAATATCAGGGTTCATAGGAGCACTCCACACTCAAACAGGGTTGTAGAGACCGTGCCAGAGTGCACATTATAATTGCAGAAACAGAGTAAATTTGTAGAGTACACTGGCAGCTCTAGATACTTTCAGAACAGGAGGATATTAGGTAGTAATCAAAATAACTGCAAAAAAGTATGGCATATCCCTTAAGGTTTCCTTTTGGGATTCAGAACAATAAATTGTGAGCAACATGCCCTTAATGTAGCACAGATTTCACTTTACTGAACCCATGCTACTTCTTCTAGCAGGTGATCTGTGGATTCAAAAGGAACAGAAGGTTACTGTAGGCTAAAATACAGCATTATTTTCCTTGTCTAGATTTTTTTCCCTTTGTGCATTTCAGAATTCAGATTCAAAAC